CAGTGGCCTAAGACCTACCACAACAAGAACAATAAATGCAGCAACAGAAAGCGGAAAGCGCATGCAGAGGAAGAACAGGGAAGCAAGGTGGAACGGACACACAACATGCAGGACCAGTAGATGGAAGAGGTAGAGCAGCAGAAGGAGCAGGACGAGGAAGAGGCAAAGGAGGATCTGCAAAGGCAGGCGACGATTCTGGAAGCCCAAGTTAACGTTTTGAAGGATGAGAACAGGGAATTCGAAGACGCAAACATAAACCTGCAGAAGATAGCGCAGAGGCAACGAAAAGAGATCGAAGCAGCAACAAGATTGGAGGCAAGGAATGGGGTCAAGCGAAGGGTAATTCTCCCGTGCCGTTGGAACGAGAACCATGTCGACTAGGAGGTGGCAATACACTGCTCGCTCCAGCTGATCAGCGCGTCGGTAAGCGCTTGAACAGGAAAGGACTTGCAGAACCTCATCGGAGAGGACCTTCCCACTTGAGCCTACGTGCTAGGGGACAAGAAGAAGGCGGCAATGGAAGGGATGGACGATGGGGGGGAGGACGAACTGGAGGACTTCAGACCGATACTCGTGCATCTGCAGGCCACAACGGAGTTGAGTGAAGGCTTGATATGGATGCCCTGGCAGGTGGTGGAAACTATCCCCTATGGCCTGCTAGGAGGGGAGGTGGTGGCAGAATGGTTAGCTAGAAGCGCAACAATTGCAGTCGAAAGGGATGCCTTTGCTTGGAAGCCAGAGTTCCTGGAGAAGAAGATAGCACCGAAATCAATAGAAATCGACCTGGCTTTGATAGGATCTTGAAGAGCTGAACAGCCAGGAAACAGGGAACCACACTGGCTCACACCTAATGGTGGAGGGAGGGGAACGAAGAGGGTTCAGGTAAACCAGACAACCTCGGAACTCAGGATTACCTCATGGAACGTGAACGGGCTGGTGTGCATTCTGGACAACCAGGACAAGTGGAATAACGTCACAAAATACACAGGGTGGTTCGATAGCTCCCCACCAGACTTCATCTGCCTCCAAAAAAACCACCTCACGGAATCCCAAAAACACCCGCAAACGAGGAGCAAACTAACACAAAGGCTGCATCGAGTAAAGGAGGCATGGTGGGCACCAACAGTCAGACCACATTCAGTAGGAGTAGCCATTCTGCAGAACAGCAGCTCAGTAGCGGAAGGGAAGTTGATAGTGAGAGATACCCTAGTGGACACAACAAAAGGAAGATGAGCGAAAGTCAACTTCGACTTCCACGACGAACCATACACACTGCTGGCAATATACTGTACCAATGGATTCCAGCAAAGGAGGACTACAGTGGAGCGCATACAAGAGCTACTAGATTCGGCAATGCACCTAATAGTAATGGGGGATTGGAATGCCACCTTACACCCCAGCCTAGATAGGATGTTGGTAGCAAGCAGGCACTGGGAGGAAGGAATGGGAGAGGAGGCCCTGCCAATTCACAGTATGATGACAAGCAGAGACCTAGTGGACCCCTACAGGCTGCACTTCCGGGATGAAAAGCAGTTCACCTACCTTAAAAGGAACCGCAGCCAGCACATGCCAGCGTCAAGGATCGACTACTTCCTAACCTCGCCAAAAATAGCGGGCATGATACAAGCGGTAGGCAGAGGAGACTTACCGTACATGACAGATTTGGACCACAAACCTATCTTTCTCCACCTGATCACATATAAACAAGTCAAGAGGGGGAAAAGTTTCTATAAATTAAACAACTCTCTGCTGCATACTATGGAAATGACATAGGCCATACTACAAGTATGCCAGTCACATAACCCGGAGTCGCAAGCCTTCCCAAAGCTGCTCATAGCCCTATCTAAGGCCTCCGAGGGGGTGGCCAGACGGGTGGCGGCCAAGAGGAGGGAGAGGGAGCAGGAAGTACAGCAAGCAATGAGAGTAGCAGAGCGAAGCATCATTAGGTGTCCAAGAGTAACTTGTACGAAAGGACTTTAGAGGCAGCGAGGGAGGAGTTAGCAGAGTGGGAACGTTGGAGACTGCGAGGTCTGCAAATGAGGGTCAGGGTAAGGCTGCATGGACCAACATCTGTCATAGAAGAGATGGTCCAAGTTGCTCATGACTTCTATAGCAAGCTCTATGCAACAAGGGAAGCTGAGCACCCAAGACAGCAAGTGAAGGAGACACGCTCCACATTTCCGCTCCACCTTGAGCCTACGATTTCCCAACAGCAAGCAGCAAAGCTCGACGCCCCTTTGACACAGGAGGAGTTCTGGGAGGCATTAAAGTCAATGGCTCCAAATAAGACACCGGGGAAAGACGGACTGACCAGAGAATTCTGGTTGGAGTATTGGCTAATCCTAGGCGAAGAGTACCTAGCATACTTGGAGCACGTGTGGCAAGCAGAAGGGCTAGGACAAGATCCGGTAACGGGAATAGTCATGTTATTGTACAAGAAAGGAAATCCAGTGGACATCCGTAACTACAAACCAATAACCCTACGCACACTAACGCACAAGATAGTAGCAAAAGTTTTAACCACATCACTCAATGACAGCCGATCTCATGTCCAAGATCCTAGCAAAACTGGGGGTTTGGTCAGCGGTTACACTTCAGTTTTCGGTAGGGCGTTGATACCGAACGCGTCCATCTTCTCCATGCTATGGTACGCAGGGACAATCTGGACCCCACCAGCACAGACAACCTCTCTACTGAGAAGAAGAGCGGCAGCATACCTTTGGACATCCAATGCAACCAAACCACACTTCATTTCCAAAGTAGCGTGGAAGCACGTCACCCGAGCAAAAGAACAGGGAGGTCTGGGTATTCTGGATCCGACCAGCAGCTCAAGGCGCTCCAAACGAGATGAGTTGTCAAATTAATCTCCCATCAAAAGCTCCCTGGACACCGTTGGCGCTACATAGGATCAGGCAAACAGCCAAATACAAAACACCACCGAATATGTCGGGCCAGTTCTGGATCATGTGTAGCACTTGGGCCAAGGTGGGCCGAAGGGAGGGCGACAGAGCTCGTACAGAGGAAGGACCCAGGGTGGCGTCGTATTGGATTCAAATGCTGAAGCTGTGGAAGGATATCTTCCCTGCTAAGGTAAGGGAGCCACGGACGGGAGAGGAGGTTCTCCAACAACCGTTGTTCTGCAAGTCAAGTATCAAGGACGCACATAGGAAACCATTAACACTCTCAGCCAAGGACACTAAGTGGGGATAGTGGTTAGAGCACGGGGAATGGCAAGTCAAACACCTATGGGTAGAGGAAGAAAAGCGGTGGAAGACCGTCAGGGAACTAAGGGCGGAACTAAGGGGATGCCACAGACTATCTGAGAACTTCAAGGTCCTCTTGGTGGCCATACCACAAGGGTGGACAGAGCTACTGTGGAAAGGAACACAGTGGGGCCTGGGAGACTGGGCCACATGGCAACATGGCAAGGAACCAGGAGAAGCCTTCAGAATCTGGGGCCAGGAGCCCACAAGAATGGAATGGCTGCACGGCGGCGCACGCGGACATGTATACCATCACAAATCCAGGCAGCACCACTTGCCTACTGGATCGGGACTCCAAAGCACCAACCATTCAAAAACAACACCTGAGTAAAGTGAGAGTGGTAGAGACAGAGGACTTCACAATATTCTGCCCAACCATACCGGTGAAAGAACTGGAGGTGGACCCAGGGGAGTGGGCGTGGAACATCAGAAGCGGAAGAACAGGAGTGACCGGAAGGGTCAACATCTTGCACTACGCCACTCAAATCGGGTATAGACTGTGAAGGAGATCTCACCCCCTGACGGCACCATTGTCAAAGCGATGGGAGAACAGGGTACGGGTGCCACCAAATCAACTACCCAAAATACCATGGGCATTGATCAACACAATACGCTTGGGTAGAGTCAGAAGTATGCAGTGGCTAATAGCTCAAGTGGCCCTTCCGGTGAACGCATGGCTAAACGAGAGAAGAAATCAGGCCCAGAGGGACCCGACCAACGCCTTGTGCACAGTATGTCAAGCAGGGACCCCGGAGACAATGTTGCACTGCCTTTTTGGAATGCGCAGAGGCAAACAGTATTTGGGAGGAAGCCAAGACCATCTGGAGCTACTTCTAGCAGGCTCCCTTTCCGGTATTCACGACCACCCTACTGCTGGGAGTCGACCTCCCAAGCCAATGGCAACCATTTGAGAAGCATATGTTCCAACTGATAAGACAATACAGCCTCTGGACTATTTGAGAAACGAAGATGCCAGGTCACCATCAAAAAGCAGTCAATGCACAAGCAGGAGGCAAAGGAGATACTCGTCACCCTAATCAAAACCGATCTGCGAGCACAATGGAAGAGGGTGAGGAGGCAAGGCCAGCAACATCCGGAACAGGCTAATGAGTACATGACTCGCTTCATCCAGAACGTGCTGGGGCAAGAGGCGGTAGCTAGTACTCAGGGTGTAAAAGTGGTATTTAAATGGAGAATGGAAAGGCCGGGAGGGAATAGGATGAGGTGTCGGAGGTAAGGGGAAAGGGGAGCAACAGCAGTCGGGTGTAGGGTTTAAGGTGAGGATAGGTGGAAAGAGAGAGGGAAGGGTGAAGTTAGGCAGAGGAAAATAGAGGTAGGTTTAGGGTGTAACACGTTGGGGCACTCTGCAGGGGTTTCAGTTCTTCCATGTCAATTCAGCCCTTTATTTCTTAAGTGCGATCTGGGGGTTGGATTGTCATTTCTTTTGGCTCCTAAGTTCAACCTAAGGACAGGGTGGCAGGTCTTTCGTTTTTTGCTATTAGCCTTTTGTTAATCCAGTTTGGTGTTTGTTCAGGAATAGCATGTAGCTTGACAGGAGAAAGGGACACTGGACCCGGTTTCCAGTATGAGCCTAATCTGGGTAATAGCCCCAGTCTTCCGGGTTGAGATGTGGAGGGATTCCCGGCCTCCTTTTGCTCCATATATAATAATATTAATAAAGCATGCTATTTTTCTTTATAAAAAAAAAAGAAAGAAAGAAAAGGTCATTCATCTTACCTTCCGCTGTCGGAACGTTCTGCTGACCCAGCAAAGAAACTCGGACCGCAGTTTTATGCTTTCGCCCACTGTCAGCACTCTAGTCACGGTTGCCTTATCCCCATCCTCGTTCAAGTCCCCCTTCTGCTTCTTTTCCTTCTCGCTCGATCCCGTTGCCGGTCCCTGTCCCACTCCCTTTCTCAATCCGACCTTCGGATCCTGCAAGTTTATGACATTACCGACCTTGCTCACGTCTCCATTTTTCTCTTTAAGTTGAGCAGAATCCCTCATTGGCATTCTGGAAGCAGCTGGAGGGACCACATGATCTAAAGCACCGGAGGTGGCAGAGGGGTGTTTCTGCAAGTTAGCAGCAGACTGTGAGTCTAAGCTCTGAGGAGGAAAGTACACCTTTTTGTGTGTGGCTTGCCAATGAGCCTTTTTCGAATTGTTGCGGTTCAAAGACATGTGTTTTTTTATTTTGGTCCCAAAATACACCACCCCTTCCTGCTGGCTCAAAGGGCGCGGGCCTCCGTGTCCCTTTTCGAAGCCTTTGAATTTGGCGGGCCTGTTTGTGCCGGAGATGTTTGTCTCGCTGTGGCTCTTTCTCACCTCTTCACCTTGCCACGTGGCAAAAGTTTCACTGTCGGCTCCTGCCGGAGCTTCCGGGGAGCTCCACACAGACTGCGTCATCCACTTTGAAACATGATGAGGTTTTTTGTTGGTGCCCTTTTTGGTCGAAAGAAGGGCAGATGGGGGCGAAGGACCTGATGATCGGGTACTAGTGTGTAGTATTCGTTCCCCTACCCCTTCTCTGTCAAACGCCCCCAGCTTCTGCGACAAGGAGCCCCCTTCTGTCTGTTGTTGTTCGCGCGCCCTTCCTGTAATTGCAGCAAGCTCACCACTGCCAAGATTATCCATCTCCGAGTCGCTGAGGTCTGAGGGTGAAACATACGGTGGGGCAGACGCCGCACGGATCTTCTCTCGTAATTCTGCTTTGTATAGCCTGCAGGTGCCATTCATTACACAGAATAATTAGCAGCCCCCCCTATATTTAATTTATTCCTCTTCAAAAACGATAAAAAAAAAAAGGCCAGTGGAGCAGAGGCAATCAACCAGAATATCTTCGCCCACCTGAGAACTGCCCGGTAAAGCTTAGGCAGAGAGGGAGAAGAGGACAACAAATGAGGGGCTGCGACGGACTGTTTTGTCAGAGTTTCACCGAGTCGTCAGGAGGCTGAACACTCTAGAGTCTGCTGAGTCCCCTGACCGATGACACTGAAACTCATATTCCACCTTAACCCCGGTTGCGGTTGAGCATCAACGACCACCCAACAACTGATACCCTGAGGTGGGCACCAACCACTGCGTTCAAGGTACCTGTGATGAAAAATATACATGTCCATTGATCATATCTATTATGTCAATTTATATGTATATTACTATATTTCATATTTAATATTTATGCCAACATATTTAAAAAAAAATAAAAAAAGTTAAGCCCCATCTATTATGGGGGGCATCAGTCTGATTGCTTATGCTCTTTTCTTACCAAGGAGATCTTATGGAATTACCAACTACAACATGAAATTCACCTCTATGTCAAGGAAACATAGCGAGCAGTCCATACACAATTGTCTTCATGACCAGACAGGTAGATATTCTTTTTTTGTTTGTTTGTTTTCAGAAAGTCAATTGACTGTCCTTCGGGACATCTGTTAAAATTGGAACGATACAGAGAAGATTAGCATGGCCCCTGCGCAAGGATGACACGCATAAATCGAGAAATGGTCAATTGACAATTGACCCAGAAGACCCAGAAGACCCAGAAGATCCAGAGGACCAGAACCCATTTTCGACAATTTCGCCTCCCCACATAGGATGTTGAAAATAGTCTGTCAACATTTTTTTGATAGCGGTCAGAAAATGGGTTTTCGACAGCCTCAAGTTCGCTCTAGTTTCTGGTCGCCTGTAAGTTCCCATTTTCAACAGGTCACCTGAGGGCCTCACCACACGAATGTCGAAACTGGAGTTTTGGACATTTTTCTTCGCCACAGACTGTCGAAGAACAAATGCCGAAAACAATTCGACATTTGACAGAGAAGTGGTTTCGACATGGGTGTGGAACGGCCCCGCCTGCAGCGGGTTGATTTTCAACATCTCAGAAGGGAGGTTGTGAAGGATGTGCGGATTTCGGCACCTGTCAGGGTCGGGGTACTGACGCTGCCTCAACATCCCGTGTCTTCTTCCTCTTTTTCGTTTTTTTTTTTTTCCCTTTTCCTGGGTCTTCAACATACGGTGTGGTGAAGGCGTCCTTTGAGTCAAAACCGTGAATGTCGACACGGTCTGACAGTTGGCGAATATTTCACGGTTTCGACACTGCTGTGGCGAGGCCCTGAGGGTTGATGAAAAAGCAGCGATTTTCGACTGCTGTCAGGGCCGTGGTGCTGACAGCGGCAGATTTTTGTTTGCAGCTCTCCACATGCTTCTATAGTCAATGTCAAAATGACCCCTGAGTGGAGACCCCCTGGCGGTTGGATCCCTCCTCACGGACATCCCAGCTCCCGCCATACAAACATTCACCAGCACGCACTCTTGCCACACAGCGCTGTTGAATCGAGGCCGAGTGAAAGATTTTTTCTGCGTGGGGAGAGTAGTGGAGCGCAACCTGTAATCTTCTGGGTAGTTCGGATTTTTTTTAATTTATTTTTTAACACCATATTGCAAAACCCAGGGGTCCGACTTGCTCCTGCTCCTCTCAACCTCGAAGCTGTCAGCTTTGCGTAGTCTTAGCGAGAGCAGGTGAGGATGGCATGTTTTTTCGTGTCGGCGGCGTCGCTCTGCTGATTCAGTTGGAGTTTAGGCTGATGTCTGGTTGGTGGGTCTGGTCCGCTTCCTGTGGGGCTCCCCCTCCTTGATCCTGTTGGCGACCAAGCTCAGGATCTAGTCTCCATCTGAGTGTTGGTTTATCTCCTTCGGCGTTTCCCAGTTTCCCCAAACCCAGTTTGTCATTGCGGAACTTGGTTATGATGTCCTGTTTTTTGGTTGGGTCGTCCTTGGTGTGCCTGAGCTCCTTACACCAGTCCGCCTGGTCTCCGGCCTGCAGGAGTTGGGGAACAGTCTGCCATGCTTCCGCTTTCGAGATGTGTTGGCCATCTATGGTTTCTGCGCATCGTCTCTTCCATATGGCCCACAATGCCAGTGGTCTGAGTCTGTGGAAGAGCACTCGTTGCCATTTCATTGTCAGCACTGGCTCATCCAGGCCCATGAGATGCGTGACGGGGTTCGGTTAGCTGCGTGCTGGTGATCGGCCACCACAGGGCTTCCGTTCTGGTCCACACCTGTCTGGCTTTGTGGCAGTAGAGCAAGCAATGTGGCAGATCTTCGGGGAGGCCCTCTGCGCAGATCGCACAACAGTCATCAAAGTCTCTTCTGGTTGCCGCGCTGCACCGCCTGCTTAGCCATTTGTTAACCGGGAGAGTGTGGTAGTAAATGAGCCATTGCATGCTCTGGATGCAGGTGTTTCTCATGGCGAGTGGATACTGCCAAGGGAGCGCCGTATGGCCATGCATGCTACCCGGGAGATGCTACTCCCATCTGTGAATGAGTATCTGGTCTGTATGGACATGCCTTCTCCTAGCCGGTAACCCAAACAAGTGGTATAGTCCAATAGGCTTGTTCGCCGCTCGATCCGGGATGTTGTGCCTACTGTTTTCCAAGCCCACTCTGCAGGGTCTATTTCCGAGTCTTGGAGCTGAGTCGCAGGGCTATAGAGGTTCCACGACTTGAACCTTATGGAGCAGGGCTGGCCTAGGTGTGACTTGTGCTCGTACTGTCTTGTCAACTGTGCTGACCGTCTGGCCTGGGTGAGTTATGTCATGTATGGTCCATAACGCCCGGTAGCCTGCCGGGCCTGAAGTAAGGACAGTGCGACCTTCGGTGTGGACTCGTCCAACCAGGTGGCCCAATCTCCTGCTGACAACTTCGCCGGTATTTGGAGCAACAGCAGCCAGTCCGGTGGCATCTAGAGCCGAATGGCTTTGAAATTTGCCTGCATATTGCGGCATCCCTTGAGCAGTTCTCTGAGTTCTGCGTATGTTTTCCATCTGCTGTGGTCCGCATTCCAAATGTGCTTGATTTGCCATACTCCTCGCTCCACCCAAGATATCCTTCTTCCATCTTGTGTCTGCGGTGTCCATGGTTTATCTGTCTGGTCCATCGGCCATTGGTTGCAGAAAAAGGGGCTGGTGGAGTACTCCCTCCTTGTTTGTCGGTCTGCGGACTTTTGCCGGGAAGATCTCCCTCCAGGTCTTGATGAGATACATCCAGTAGTCCTGGCGGGGCCCCTGCTGTTGTTCTTGATGGTGTTCCCGCAGGTGCGCACTGGTACGCGATGCCCATGATTTGGCCATAAGCCAGAATTGGCCTTGCATGTTCGGTGGCGTTGCCACTCTCGGCAGTTGGCGTATTTGGTGTAGGGCCAAGGAGGTCCATGGCAGGCATTGTTGGGTGAGCAGCTTCAATATCCACTTACATTGGAGGGCTTTGGTCTGCTGAACGGGGTCCAGTATTCCAAGCCCTCCCTTGCCCTTTGGCTGTATGACGTGAGACCACGCCACCTTTGGTATGGAGTTTTGTCTTGCTGGATTGCCTGTCCACAGATAAGCCGTGGCCTTGCGTTTGAGGGATCTGGTCATGGCTTGCTCGGGTGTCCAGTCAAGTTGATTTTGGAAAGATGACCTTTTGGGAAGATATGGGACACTGGACCCGGTTTCCAGCAATAGCCTAAGCTGGGTAAAGGCCCCAGAATTTTCTGGGTTGATTGTGACAATTCCCGGCCTCGTCTTTTCCATTGAAATGAAATGGTCAAATCCTTCCAAATAAAAAAAAAAAAAAAAAAAAAAAAAACCCTGCATACGAAAAAGAGAGAGAGAGAGAGAGAGAGCAAGAGAGAGAGAGAGAGAGAGAGAGACAGAAAAAAAAAAAAAAAAAAAAAAAAAAACAATCAGAGAGGATGGGACAGACAGGTGGTATTGCTCTCACAGGAGCACAGAGCCCCGTCACAACAGCAACAAGGTACACAACTGGAGTCCCAGGACCCCAACGAGATAGCAAGCTACACAACACTATATCCATGCCCTGTACAACAGCTACGTCATGCTTCTCCAATGCCTCATCCTTGCACATGCGTTGTCATGTGTGTGTGTGCATGTGTTTTTTTTTTTGCCCCCCGCCGCAGATGCGGCGGGCATCTGCTTGTTCAAGTGAAAAACCCTTTATGGAAGAAAAAAACGAACAATCTTTCTAACTCCATTTCCGGAATCTTTAAATAGCTTCGGCTTTGGCCAAGCTTTCCCAATGGAATCATCAGCACACGTCACTCTTCGGACGGGCGCTGGTCGTCAATAATGTGGTCCTAGCATTTCTATGGTACAAATCGGTACTCTGGCCGCTGAGTGAGGGCGCCTTGAAAACCTTAAAAAGGAGGCTGACAGCCTACTTATGGAGAGGTGACATGCTATTAGCCGCGTTGCATGGGAGTCGGTCACTCAACCCAAGGCAAAAGGGGGTTTTGGTATCTTGGACCCCCTTACTCAATCTCAAGCCCTAAGTCTACAATGGATAGTGAAGTTGATTTATGCAAACCCTCTAGTATGGCGACCTTTGGCTCTTCAACAGATTGCCTGCTTTGCCCTTGAGGCTCCCTCGACCGTTCACCCGCTTCAATGGTTGGACGACCGCTATTGGAGAGTGCCACGACGTCCCCGAGGTGGGGAGAGGCGGAGGGATGATTTCTGGCCCCGTCTGCTAAAAATATGGAGGAGGCTCCCCCCCCCGTGTCGACCTCCCCCACGCAGGTGGGAGGAGGTAGCAGGACAACCCCTCTTCGGCAACCGCTGGATCACTAATGGACAGAGTCAGATTTTCTGCAGCTCCGACGCCCCATGGAAAGGATTGGTGAAGAATGGAGTAACCCGAGTTGGCGATCTTTGGGACGCTGAAAAGAAGGATTGGAAAGGACCGGAGAAGATGAAGGAAAATCTAAAATACTGTCACAATATAGAATCAGCGCTGGATGAAATCACGGAAGCCCTACCAGTGGGATGGTTGCACATCCTGCGCAAAGACCCAGTGCTGCAGGAGGGGGACTGGGTGTCCAAGGATGGGTGGACCAACCGGGCGGGCCTAATCCATCTTGTACGGCCGAAGGACGCACTGATCGAATGGCATAACATAAAAGAAGATGGCCATTTAGTTGGAAGCCGGGACCCCTTCCAGTGGACCCCGAGAGCGGCTCTATACAGAATCAGGATTATAGGGGAAGGGGAGAACCGACGGGCATTTATGCCTTGGATGGCCGTGCAAGACCTACCCATGAATCCGCTGGAATGAGTCTGGAACCAAGACATAAGGCACAATTCTGGATAGTCAAGCTCCAAGGCATTGACATACCTTTCAGTGAAAGCAACTTACAGAATGCTCAGAACTAAACGGTGTCTGAGAGACATAGTGATCGACAGATGGCATAGGCACCTCAACGTGGATAAGCAACTCTTCACACCAATCTAATGGTTCCGCGACACCAAGTGCAGGTCTGCCAAAATTACGTCCCTGCAATGGCAAATCCTACATCGGTGTCTACCAACAAATGATTGGTTGACCGATCACTCACACCTGGAACAACAGGGCCATGCCCTCTCTTGGTGCCCGCGATGCTTGTCGGGCTTTCCAGTAAGGAAGAAAGCTGAAACAATCGAACACATCTTTCTGCAATGCCCAACAGCAGTCCTTACCTGGAGATTGTAGGATAGGATATGGCAACAAATAGTTCCGGACCATCGGTGGCCGTGGGAGTGGTGAGCCATCCTCATGGGCCACTACCCGCCTCTCCACGGGGACGTTTTTGCCTGGAACATGTTCCAGTTGGGCCGAAAAACGGTCCTATGGGTTCTATGGGGGCAACATTGTGCGTTAGTTTTAGATCAAGTTCGTGTGGAAGGAGAGGAGAGAATGGAACAATTTAAACAGCACATTCAACTGGAACTTATGAACAAATGGAATTCAGTCAAACTCGCGCTAGATACCCTCCATAGGCCAAAGGACATCACAGAGAGGCTAGTGCAGTTCTCTAAGGAATGGCTGGGAGGGGATCGAGACGGGTGGATAGCAGAGGTATGTTGGTCAGGAGACTGGAATGGAAGTGAGGAAGGGGAGGAAGGACAAGGAAGGGGGGCAGTGCGACGGGACTATAGATTAAGATTTAAAGACTGGATGTCTATTGCCCCTAATGTCCCCTTGAGACCAATAGAGGATTTCCGGATCCGTTCCCTCCCCACCCACAGTCCCTGGAAATACGAATGTTGTAACTCCCAGTTGTAGGCGGTATGATGGCAGAACAAGGATCTGACATCGAGCGACAGCAGCACCACTCCCTCAAGCTGGCAGATTTGTGAAATTCCAAATACACCCTTAGGAAGGGACGTTAGCCAAGGGCTACGTCCACGGGATAAGGCAATCTGGGAGAGGAATGGGAAGGGAGACGCAGGGCTCCACTGGTGCCCCCCCAGTGGCCCCATGGCGTCTACAGACTAAGGATAGAAGGGTTAAACCACCAGTACCTCGCTCAGTGTTCGGCCGCGGGCCTTCCCGTATACGCGCCGCAGCCTCAGGCTGGTCGGCCAAGGGAAGGCCCGGTCGTAGCGCCAAGGCCGGGCCCCGCTTCTGTAGGGACGACACACGATCAAAAAA